ACAGTGGGTTTTTTTCCTTGCCTTGAGATGAGTTGAACCCACAGCGCCACTGACTCATCCTCTCTAGATGGAGAATGGCCTTTTCTGTAGCCTATCAGATGTCACTAGGCTCCTCTGTTGTGGTCACAGCCATTCACAGGGGATGAATCACATTAATAAAAGCCATCTTTGCGTTGCTTGGCAGCTCGGCTGGGGTCAGCTGGTGGCATTTGAGAGCTGGAAACCTGAAAGTACGGCAGATTTCAAACAAACCAGCTTATGCTGATGTGTTCTGTTCATGCATTTCAGACTGCTTTTAGGGATGTATCTCAGTTAAGTGCATTCACTGTGTCAGCCATGCTTATTCAGAGTGAGCGTGTGAGAGCAGGAGCTTTTTTGCTCTTTTGTCTATGTCAAAAGACTCTTGAACTACAAAGACTTGTCTTGCTTCTCTTCCTGCTGACTGATCCTCTTCCTCTCTGACACACTTATGAATACAAATATATATATGAGCAATGCAAACGCAAACGCCTGTTAAGCTAGTTGTCGTTTAAGGATTTGCAGCTACAGCAAATCCTGTGGGATTTGTAAAGAACGCGTCCTATGTAAATGAGTTTCACTGCCAATGTGAAAAGGTGTATCTATTCTGATCCTAATACAAGCATTCTAGTCTGAATGAGCTGTGATTAAAGTCATGCTTTGGTTTTCAAAGGAATCACATAGAAATCAATACAGAGGGAGGAGGAGTACATAGTTGTCTTTTTTTTTTCTTAACCTGTAAAACCTTCCTCAGGATTTCAGCTGAAGATCATGTAGCTTTAGGGACACCTTTCTCATCAGATCCAATCTCTTTGGAAAAAAGTGAACTGTGTCGCCCTCTTGTGGTAGAAGTAACTTTTAGCAGTGTATAAATTTCCTCAGTTAAGAAGTAAAATTTGTGGAAGCATTGTTATGGAAGAGGATAGAACATTGCTGCAAACGAAGGCCTCTTCGACACATTATACTACGACATATAACACATTATTATTAACAAAGTGAAATGTATTTATAAGAAATTGCTAAATATTAGGATTTTTTGGCGGTTGGCAGCCAAAGTAGGAGAAATATTTGCAGTTTGATCCACAGTATATCTTGGAAATATCAGTATCTTTGGTTGGTACAAAAGAAACATACTGATATATATTGTATATATATATATATATATACTACATTAAATAGTTTTTTTTCATAAAAAAGAAAGTTGTCTGTCAATCCAAATGTGCAAATAATTAAAGGTTTTTAAAAAGTATTGTGGGCTTGAAACTGGCTGTTAAATTAAGAAAATCAACCCCTTTAGTAAAACTTTAACAAACCTTGCAGGAATTTCTTCCTCCTCTCACCATTCCTTCACATACCAGAGGCAAAAACATTTCCTTCTTATCAGTTAGGTCAGTGACACTGAATATATCCACAATCTGCATGTTCCGAACTGTGTTTTTTTTAAAAATACTTTTGTGTAATTGTATGTCTTCCTATCATTCTAAAAATGTATTTAGTTGTAGTACCTTTGTGCAACTGTTAATGGATAATTTCCTGCATATGAATGTAAATTAGCAGCTGTCCTTCAGGCAGAAGCGTAACCAGAAAGTGTTTATAAGGGTGGCCAGGCAATAACTAATGTTCATTGAGTGGGGGCCGAAAGCAGATAGGCACCAGAACCTCAGGGTCAATCTACACTGTTCCAACAGGAAAATTAACAAGAAAAACATCCATATTTTCTAAATAAAGGCAAACCACACTTTCCTACAGCCTTAGCTAACAAATAGACATAATTTCTATATAAAAGGTATAGTGGATAAAACTCAGTTTTTTTTCAGTTTTGAGTTCTGGGGCGTAAATCTTTTCCATTGTCATTACTCACCTACTTTTATCAATAAACATTCTGCATAAAATTGATATTTACAAGTACTAATATCTACATAAACTGATCATTTGATAGGTTTTTATTAAAATAGTTATTTATCTATGATTTCACTGAAGACTCCTAGATGACTTGCAGAAACACATCATTTTCTCTTTACCTCATGTAACACAAAATCTAGTTCTGAAAAGAGAATGAATTCTGTACTTATCATCCTTGATGTTAGTTTATTGATGTGTATAATTAACCACAAAAAATGTAAATGTTTTGAATATTCCACTTGAGAGTAATACTGCTACCACCATCTGTATTACAGGGGGGAAAATGATATGGGTGGCCACAGGGGTGGCCACTGATTGGCTAAGGGTGGCCATGTTTTGAACTCTTTATGTTTTGATTGTGATCATTATGTGATACTTGGAGTGAAAACCTGCAATTTCTTTTTCTCACAAAGTAAGATTATTACACTGTGTAATAATTTCAGTGGTTTAAGTCATTAGCTGTAATGCAGGCAGCCAAGAAGGGCATCTAGCATAAAAACTCAGCTGAGCCTGTAAGCAAGTTGCAATGACTTGCTGTGGCGGCTCATGAATAAGGGAACAGCTAAAAAGACTGAGACTTCTAAAATGTTTGTGCATTTCCTCATTACAGTGTTACGTGTCTGTGGATCAGCTGAGGTGCAGTGCAATACCAGGTCGCTTTGATATCTGCCATCTGCATTGTAAATTCTGGTGTCTCTCTTCTTCAGCACCTCTCTATGAGGTTCTGGTCAGGCAGGTTCTCTGGCAAGTCAAACACAGTAACACCTCACACTTTTGGTAGTTAACAATGTGGGCAGGTGTCAAGTCCAGCTGGAAAAATGAAATCAGCAGCAGAAGGAAGCATGAAGAGCTCTAGAACTTTCTGATGCATTTACTTTGGACCTAAGAAAACTCTTGGACCTCAGAAGTTCAAACTGCCTCCTCTCAACAGAGGACTAAGTACCATTGAGCAACAGTCCAAATATTTTTCTCCTTAGCCAGGAAGGTTGGTACTGATGTTGTATCTTGTTCATGATGGAGTTCGTCTGTGTGCAGTATCTCATAATGCTCTGACTGAAGCCTCAGTCCATCCTTTATGAAATTCATTCCAAAGTGTAGAATGGATTTTAGTGTACAATCTTCTGAAGGTTATGGTTATACACTGTCCTGGTGGTTTGGACCTTCTCCCAACACACTTTTTCTTTCCACTAGATTATCTATACATACTCTTGGACACATCACTCTGAATTTCTTCTTGATATTTTTTTAAGTCAGGATCCTTCCCCGTGGAAAAAAAAAAATAATAATAATTTTAATAAGTAGCCTTTTTGAATATAACAGTATTTGTTTTAGTAATCATTGGATTTCCGCCCCTTTTTTAAATGCAAATAGTGTTTAAAATAAATAATTCATATGAATTAATCAACCAATTAAATGATTGATTGATGCTTTTTCTTTAAACATGTATCGTATTCTTAAGGACCCAGTTACAGGAGGCTACATGAGACCCTATCTCGATAAATGAATTACTAGATTGCTGTTCTCAGAAGGAAAGAGAGGACAGATGGGACCCATTACATTTATAATATATTGTTAACTACCCTCTCCTGAAACATGTGATGCTCAGCATCATATACTTAAGGTCCATAATAATCTCATCATCTCTAGGAGCTCATATTATGTCTCTCTGTTTATCTGCCATGACTGAGGCTGCACTCTGTTTCATCAACGCACACATGGGCAGATTGTCTTGCTTTTCTCTCTTTCCTTTTGCAGATTGTCTCTCTGGTTATTTGCTTTTCTCTCTGACCACAAGCTTTGTGGTGTATGAGGTATTGGTTTCTTTTTTTTTTTGTTTGCACACAAAGACACTTCTCCCAGTCTCAGATCTTGTTAGACATAACACATGGGGATGAGATCGCAGAGGGGCTGCGATAAGACCCAGTTCTTAACACCTCCAAGTTTAAAGGCACAAGATGAGAAGTTGCACCTGCAGGTCTTCCAGAACCCTCCCTTTTTCCCCTTGTGGTGGCCCTCGTCTGGCTTTTCCTTTCACATGGGTGCACGTTATACAGCATTTGGCTGTCTAAGCCCTCATCACATTGTCAATTCTAGTATATGTCTTAATTTAAAACAATTCTTGTAATGATTCTTTTTAAAAAAATTTCACATACAGATTTGTTCCCATTTACAATACATTTAAGTGTTATTTTCACCTTTTATGTACAGACTCAAGTATATAAAACTATAAAATAAAAGCCTACGAAATTTAACATTAATATTTGCATGCTTATTATGCAGAGCATTGCTCCTTATGGACACTCTGCTCTTTATAGAGTACCAGTGGTAATATGATGAGCTAACATTAGAAGTTGAATTGATTGGGCTATCAGTTAGCAGTCAGGTTTTTCACCGCCTAGCTTAAACAGCTGTATCCTAATAAGACTGATTGTTAAATCTACTTAATTTTTTTAAATATGTCTGGAATATTTCCAATAACCTACAGACAGAACACCCCAAAACCACTGCTCACTCAAGGACTTTCTACGGTATGTCCACTCATTAAATGACTTTTAATTGCAGGACAGTATGGCAGAAAACTATAGGCCGTAACTTTTTAAGCTTTGTTACACTTTGATTCTGATACCATGCCCATGCAAAACCCTTATGTTTTTTCTGTTCTCTGTTTTTACATGTTTCTCTCTTTGGATGCTACTCTGAATGTTGCATCTTTTAACTTACTGCTCTAGAACTTATCAAATATCATCACATCTCTCTGTTCTTTAAAGTTTCACTTTCTTTTTCTATGTCAGCAGAATTATGGATTTTGGATGGAGGACAAATTGCTTAGCTACATACCAGCTCCTTATAGAAATAAATAAAAAAAACTCTGGGAGCTGCAGCCCCTGCTGGGAGTCATGGGGTCTCCTCACTTCTTTTTTCTTTTGAACTTTAGTGCTTCTCTTTTTTTTCATAAAATTTTCACTTGCCGCCAAGATGGCCTGATACTGAAGATGATATGTGAAAACTAGCTGCAGCATCTCATCATGTTTTATCTCTGGATTTTGATTTTTTTTAATGTACTGTTCTGTATTCCGCAGAGACCTTTGAGGTTCTGATGAGGCAGGCCGAGAATCACACCAACAACGTCCTCCAGGTGTCTTATCAGAAAATAGCTGATGCTGCTGCTGCCTCAGTGAGGGAACTCTTCACCGATGTGGGTCTCTTCCTGCTGGGTTCCGAGCTCAACGTTGATGAGTTTGTGCAACGCTTTTTCGACGCACTCCTCCCACTGGTCTACAATTACTATATAAACCCAGGAGGCAGTAACCCATCACCAGGCCATGATGAGTGTGTGAGGTCACTTAACCGCATTATCAAACCGTTTGGTGCAGCGCCGGGCCTCCTCGCTGATCAGATTGCTACCTCTGGGGTCTCTGGGAAGCTGCTACTGCAGGCTCTGCACCTTGGCATCGAGGTCATTAATACCACAGACCACTTACAGCTGAGCCGTGAATGCAGACGGGCCCTGCTCAAGATGCAATACTGTCCTCACTGTCAGGTATGGGTGCAGTGATGTAAGTGCATTGATCCGAGTTAATGAAGCGTTTTTACCGGCAGCACTAATCTCAGAGCACTTCCCTTCACAGGGCATAACACATTCCAAGCCCTGCATGGGCTACTGCCTCAACGTCATGCGGGGGTGTCTGGCGAGCATGGCGGAGATCGACGCTCACTGGAGGGAGTTTGTTCGCTCACTGGAGGGACTGTCAGCTAGGATGCATGGAGCTCAGGATTTGGAGCAAGTGCTTCTCGGAGCTCACACAATGCTTCATGATGCTATCAGGCAGGCTCAGAAGAATGGAGCTCGCCTCTTGGCACAGGTCTGGATCATGAGCAGAAATGTATTATTGATTTTAATGCTCGATTTGAATCTATCCTGTAGCTCTGTACAGGAGGCGAAAACACTGTTACCTGCAGGCCTGAAAGGATAAACAAAATATAGAGTGCTTCACACTGGCATGATGGAGTAGTTTTTATTTTAAAATCTGCTGGAATTACAGCTGTTTGCTCCATGGCAGAGAGGAACACAGGGGTTTATTTTAAAGATACATTGCTTTAAATGGCACATTTTTATACAAAACAGCTAGATTGGGGAAGAAAAGGGAAAGTGCCTTGAAATATATCCACTTGGGCAGCTGCAAGGCAATTAAAAACCTACAGATAGTAGAGGACTTAATCTGCAGAGAGAAACTAGACCTCAATTTATCATCTGTTGATCCATTCACAAACAGACTCTAAAGACCCATTTTGTTCTTAAACTACACTGTTGCTATTCACTACTTTGGATGCAACAGCTCCATCTAGTGGATAATATGATATGCTGCTGTTTGGCAGGCATATTGTCATTAATTGACAGAAACTAGAGAAGACAGCACTAATGTTCCAAACCCAAATATTTCTTACTCAGCAATCCAAAACACATATTATATGTGAGGCATAAGTAATATATAACACGATTATAAAATTCTTAAAATACACACTATTCGCTTAGTGTTATGAAATTCAATTTGTGGCTGTTTTATTGTGCATTAGGTTCACAAACTGTGCAGCCCACCAATCAGGACGCCCGCGCAGTCGTTCAGCATCCAGGACACAAACACCAGGGTCTCCATCCCGCTCAAAGCCCTGAACAGGAGATCAGAAGATTCACTGTCTGTCATGAGAAAGTAGGTGGATGTTGGATAAACACACAAAAATTACAGCAAGCTGTCATTTTCAGTTTTTTGTTCTGGATGTAAGAAATAAAAAATAGGCCTGCTCTCATGTGGCTACCTTTTTTTTTAAGGGACTTTCTGAAGAACCTGCGTGCATTCAGCACTTTCTACGGTGGCCTGGCAGATCATATGTGTCTGCAGGAGCTTTCGTCTGGTGACGGGGTGCCCTGCTGGAATGGAACCAACATTGTAAAGAGGTTGGTTTTAAAAGAAAATAATAAAAAAAACATAGATTCTTTTTATAAAAAGGTCAAGCAGTTACAGTATTATGACATGCCTGCATTTCTGAAACCCAGATTTGCCTATTTTTGAAGTATTTCCTTATAGACAAAGATAACTAACAAGTTTCTTCATCATACACCTCTGATGTAGATAGATCTGACAATATTCAGAATCAATCCCTTAAAACCTAATCTGAACCCATCAAGGACCATCCGAAAATGATAAACAAACGTTAATTAAGCTAGTCACTTGTTGTTCTTCTTCTTTTTCTTTAAACTTGCACGGTCAGAGTTTTTATTGCTGTTAAATGGACACAAATATGCTCTAAGTTAGAAGAAGGAAAAGGTCAGAAAACATGCTTCATAGATTTTGGTCTTTTTATGGTCTTAGGCTCACTAAACAAAATGTTCCACTATACAATACCATCTACATTTCTTGTCAGCCCTTGTAGAGATATATTTAAAGTGCTTAAAGGTTTAATTTCGGCTTTGCAGGGTTTTTCTAGTTTGTAAAATATGATACGACAGCGCTTTTCTCCACAGTAAAGTAGATTAACTTTAATGTAGATGAGAATTTTTAAGTGAGAATTATTGTTTTTTTCGGATAACATTACATCTTTTTTTCTGTTCTATTAACTTAAATCTAATAATGAAGGATGAGTGAGTTACAATTTGTTTTCTCAGTGATACAAAGGAGGGATATCAGGAGAAGCTTCTCACATTCACTGTAAATTCCGGTTGAGGATCAATGATGCTCTGAGTCCTGAACACAAACTTTATGAAATCCTATGTTCCTAAAATCTTAGTATTAATTTTTTTAGTATTATTTCATGTCACTGATTGTAGAGGGTGCATTATTTTTTAATTTTCAACTGTTCCTTTAAGTTAGGAATGCTCCCTTTTTTCCATCGACTGCAAATTAAGCATTTGAACAACAAAGGACAAAGCTGCAGTTAATGTACATGATAGGTTCAGGATGTCATCAGGATGGTTATGATGTTGCACATACTCTGCTTGAAACAACTGCTCTGTGAAAACACAAACTTTCTGACTTGATTCTGGAAATAGTTTCACAAAACAACATGATGACACTTCCTCAGGTTTCATCTATCAGCTGTTGGTGATGTGCATCTGAGAAATGGATGTGAACTTGAGAAGGCACACATCGCGCCTCTTTTATGCGATCAGTCAGTGGCCTTGTCTTCATTGCATCACAGCTCTCGATCTTACCCGTGCTGTCATCACTCAAGGACTCCTACACTTATCCCCGGTTGGGGGTTGTTCTTTTTAACTGTCAGCTACTCTTAAAAGAACTGAAACAGCTGGTGGGCTGGTTGTGGTTTTTGTCAGTTCAGGTTTCAACCATTTGCTGTCGAAGATAATGAGTTTATGAACTACAAAAAAGATTCTGGATGATTACCAGAAAGTTTTTTTTTCCTATTTAGCATTCCTATTTAGACTTCTTAGTGGCCGTGCTGATTAAAGATGAAGAAATCTGTTAAAAGTCCACTTTTACTAAATAGTTGATCATTTGAACTTTTTATTGGAAGATTTTTACTGTTTCCCACTAAAGAGCTATGACTTATATAACAGAGAAGTGAGATTCACAGTGAATTCATACTGGAATAAGAAGCATGCTGCAGGCCCTCCACTACTTGCAGCAGCCTGTGGGAAATATTTATGGTCTCTGGGCATCTTTTATCTGTTTAAGCTTCCTTTCTCTACTGTCTATTAACAGTTAGACTTATTGATAGGGATTCTTCCACCTCAGGTCCACTTGGCTTCATTTCCGTTCAGCCATTACCGAAAAAGTAGAAATTAAGAGACATTAAGAAACAAGCCTCTGAGGAGAGTATCGAGCTAAAAATCTCTGTAGCTTCTGGAGATCTGCAATCCTTTGCTGCTTTCTATTACCCCAGCACTGTAGATGGATGGCCGGCAGTCAACACAGGCTGAGACAAAGGCAATAAATAACCTCCTACCTACAGGTCATAACCCAACACCCACTGTGAGAGGGGGGAATAAAACTGGCTGTTGGATGGTGGCTGATTTACAGAAGCTTATCGAGGCCTCAGAGACCCTAAATGATTGGTTCAGTGGATGTATGCTTGTGTTTGTGTGTGAGAGGAAAAACATGTGCTTTTAAGTGTGTGTATGTGGTTTTATAACATGCATTTGTGCGAGCTGGCATACATTATTTCATGGCCTAAAACAAGCAGAAATTTGAACTAGAATGGGCACGATAAAGGAAATACAAAAGAAGACCCGGGGGGTCTCAGATTTAGGAGAGATTGAATGCATCTCCTTATCTGGGTTGCTGGTAAACAGAAAGATAAGGAACAATTGGATAAGATCACAAAGGAATAACACCAGCAGCTTTAATTTAGCTTTCTCTGAGAATGTGGATGATCAGGATTTCTCTACAGTGTGATGATTTGTAAACACATTCTTCCTCTGCTCGTGGTTTGCTTCGTACTCAATCACTCATATTGGCAGAGAAAGAGATTAGACAAGCAATCTTGTAATTAGTGTTATAGATTTCGACACAGTTAATGTGAGCTGCTTTTCTATAGTTATGCAAATAATTAATTTCAGATTCTTTGCACCCTGTCTTCTTGGATGCTAACAAGTATTTTTATATAACTAAATTTTTTCCTAAGCATTCATCTATGTTAAAAATCATTGCAAGTACTTATCTTTGCTTATCAGTTTTTTTTTTTGCATATGTAATGCAAGAGTTAAGAAATGTTTTATTTTCTAAATGTAATTTCTACTGAAATGTAAGCCATCTATAAAATAATTAATGTTGCATTTTATTTGTATTCTGATACATAATTGTCTTAGTTTTTGGTCAGACACTTATTTATTACTGTTTATCATTTTTAACAAGAACATTGTCCTGCTATTACCTATTATAATTTTCCATTATGGACAAGATACTTTAATTTGAAAATAAAAGATGAGTTCTCGTAATCTGATTTTTGCATGGAAAAGAGACAGGATGCAACCCCGGGTCCAGTATCCAATATGGCTACTCAGCTCGTAAAATGGAGCAAAATTTGTAAGGATAAAAAGTTTGTTGAATTTATTGATATCATTTTATTATCAGCTCAATGCCAGCTTTGCTTGCTGATTGATTAGTGGCTGAAAAGGTAGTGCACTATTATAACCTAAACTCTGTCAGCCGTACTGTACCAATTAGCAGCGATAAAAACACTTAATACATTTTTTAGTTCCAAATAAGATAAGCAGCAGAAATTTTATTACTGCAGTTTATTTCTGGGAATGGAACAGATGGTGAAGTAATGAACCAATATTAGACGAGGAACTCGCTTTAAAAAGTGACTTTTTTATTCTTTTCAGATATATTTTGTAAATTATTGTAAAGGATTTAAAGGTATTGGGATTTGATGCCCTTGAATAGCCTAACATGAAAAAAAAAAAAAACTAAGAATGTCTAAGAATATGCTATAAATTGAAAATAGACATATACCAATTAAACGTACCCTAAGTTATCACATCAGTATATTTATATAAATGCCAGCAACAAAAAGCATTATAAAAACAAAATATTATCTACAGGTTTACTTTTTGTACAAAAATCTTGCTCTGCCAAGGCTTTTTGAAGGCAAATCGTCCAATACTGTTTTACAAACCTAAAAAATAATGTTCCAGTTTAATAATTTACAAGCTATTAGACAGGTTTATAATTTTTTTTGTCAGTCCTACATGCCTTTATCCATGCTGGGTCAGATCCTGACATTTGAAAAAGGAGGCAGGCAGTCAAGGCAGCAGAATAACGCCTTAGCCTCGCTGCATGCAGTTAGCCAAGCCTTGTAACTAAATCAGATCCTGGAAGAAGACAGAGTGTACCTTCTCCATCTGTCTTTTAGAATGTTGATTAATTTGGATGTTTGGCTGATCAGGTCCAAACGGTTTCACCCCCAGCTTCTACTGGTAATTTTGCTTCCCTCCCACACCTCGGCCTGTCAATGACCAACACAACAACTGAGACAACAGTTCCAGGTTGCAGCTCAGCTGTGCCCCGAGCCGTCCTATACATCTGTGTTGCAGAGGAGCTACTGCGCATGTACAACTTTTAAGAGAGCCAATTGACAAACATTTTTGCACCCTAGAAATAGGTCACCAATCTGACAAAAAAAGAAATGGTGCTTTACTTGTCATTAAAGATTACATTAGATTTTTATCTTGCACATCAAAAAAAGATATATCAATATATTTTGAAATATATTCTTTAAAAATAAGTATAAAATATAAATTCATAATTTAATTTTAAACTTTTTTTTTTTCATGTCTTAATCAAGGTCATTGGGCTGGTGGGGTAGCGCCCTAGCACCCCATATTGGCCAGCCGGCACTGGTTAAAGGATCAAATGAATCCTATGACTATTTCAAATAAATTTTCAATTCAGTTTATTCAAAAACCTCAAATTCACAACATATGAATTCAATTTACAGAGATAATTCTATCAGATCATATAGTGAGATAAATTATAAGTTTTCTACTTAAGGAAAACCAGCTGATTTCATCAAGACATTGCAGGACACGTTTCTTCTTCATTAGCATGTAGATATCTGCTTGCATTTTTTCATTGTCTCTGGTTTGATCACCAGCTGACAAACAACAGGCTATAAATTTTGAACTCAAAAAAGAAAACAAATCGAATCGCCCCCTTTTCACCCATTTTTCTCACCAGTTGGTGAAAACAGCCTTGTGTTGTAGAAGCAATGCTAAAAAGCCTCAACCATGTTCAAGAAGCAGAGTGTGATGGTTTATTCATGATTACCTCCTCTGGTGAAGGCTCGCTTTAAGTCCTCCCCACCTGTGGTTAGTCTCACGGCTTCTATGACACACCATGTGTTTGGCCCCATACTTGTGCTTTTTTTTTAATTGAAAGCAGCAATTTAACATTATCACAATAAAAAATCTTTAACGTTTAAGTTTAACATGTGGTG